CGACAGGGGAAATCTGAGTGTCGGGTCATTCGCTGGGCTGGGCTGTCAAGAAAGCCGGTCCATGCAACCACCATTTTATTTTCTCCAAGTTCAGCACACCCCTGGAGCAGTAGTCGGCTGGATTGTCACAGGATTTTATGTGCCGACATTGACACCTTTCCGTTTCTTCCTAAATGACAGCAAACCGGTTGGCAACAAACATGCTGAAGCGCTTCCGTACATTGCTAACATAGTGACGAGCTATAGGGGAATCAGTGCAGGAGGTTGCGGTCCATTCAGTCGAGTTAAAACATCTTTTGATCACCTTCGCTACCTTCACCGCTAATACTGCTGCGGCCAGTTCCAGCCTGGGTATTGAGACTGCCTTTAGAGGGGCAACTCCGGCCTTTGCGAACAGAATACTGCTGTGCCTCCTTCCTTCTGGCCGAGACGAGCAACCGTAGGCCACCAATCCGTATCCCACCTCCGACGCGTCCGAAAAAACGTGTAACTCACTTTGCTCTCCTTTTTGCATTCCTGGTATGGAACGACGGAGTCGTATATCGCCCAGATTGGATAGGCTCAGGCACCAACCTTGCCAGGTCTTGTGATCCGCCTAGCATAGGGTCTCATCCCAAGTAACATTTTTTCTAAACAGGTCCTGCAGCAGAATCTTGCCCGGTAGTAGCCACGGTGCGACGAACCCCATTGGATACGCAGGTCCTGCAGCAGAATCTTGCCCGGCAGTAGCCACGGTGCGACGAACCCCATTGGATCGTTCCTGCAGCAGAATCTTGCCCGGCAGTAGCCACGGTGCGACGAACCCCATTGGATCGTAAACAGAATCTTGCCCGGTAGTAGCCACGGTGCGACGAACCCCATTGGATCGTAAAGGCTGGCCAACGAAGACAGAATTCCTCTGCCAGTCGCCGTCGTCTCAGGTAACTGGAGTTGGAACAAGAACTCGTCTTTCTCTGAGTCCCATTGCACACCAAGTGCTNTATCTGTTGGTAACGGACTCCCCTGCAATTCACGGAGACTCGGCGCCCGATCATCAACTGGGATGCAATCGATTGCATGACGAATGTTGGACATCCATTTGGTCAACTTGAACCCTCCCATGAGCAGTAACTTGGATAAATCCCTAATGTGTCGAACTACTTCCTCGATGCTATCAAAGGATCCCAGGAAGTCGTCCACATAAAAGTTATGTTCAACACAGGGGCTCACCGGGGTTTTGAAGTGCTGAGCAAATCGATTCACGGTCGTTTTTAACGCGAAGTTTGCAAAGAAGGGAGAAGATATCGCGCCAAACGGGTGCACCGTCATCCGATACTCTTGAGCAGGTCCGTCTAGGTCTCCATCCGGCCACCACCACAACCGTAGCGCATCCCTTTGCCCTTCGGGGAATTTGACCCACACGAAAATCTCTTCGATATCAACCGCTACCGCAACTGACCCCAGCGGGAATCTGCACAGCACCTCAATCAGCGGAGTCGTCAGGCCTGTGGCTTTTATTAGACGGGCACACTTGGCAACACAATCGAAGACAACCCGGATCTCCCGAGATTTCTTTGGGTTTATGACAGGGTGGTGCGGAAGGTACCACAATGGTTGCTCCTTTTCCACTTCTACCATTGCGCGTTCGATATATCCCAACTCTAGGTCGAGTTTCGTGGCGTTACAGTAGGCTTCCTTCAACTTTGCGGTCCTTTTCCATCGACCCTTCAGGTAGTTGAGCCTATGGAGTGCTAGTTCGCGATTGTCTGGCAGTCGGTTGGATCCCGTTCGCCAGGGTAACAGCACTCCGAATTGGATTCCGTTGTGTCGTGCAAGTACAAGCAGTGATGGACGTCTTGCCCTATGGGAGGAAGACAAAGCAAATACCCTTCTGGCCTTCTGTAAGGGAGTGTACAGACAGCTAACACCGTTGGTTATGGCAGATTATCCCAGTGTAACATAGGGTTCTGTGCTAGGCCCACTGCTATTCCTGACGTTCGTCAATGATTTGGCAGGGGAAATCAACAAACCGTGTTTTATGTTCGCGGACGGAATCTTCCGCTCAACCTAGCTCAATGTTAGCTTCTAACTGCAGAAGCTGAACCTCACATACAGAATAAAATCCAGCTTAAGAGAGAGAGAGGTTAAGAACCTGGGAGTAATTGTACCCTACGACTTCAAACCCTCCCAACAATGTCAGAGGGCAGGCAACATAGCTCGAAGGGAACTCTTTCGTGTACACTCCACCATTACGTGTAGGAAACCCGAGTTTCTCGTCCCTCTGTACGAAGCCGTAGTCAGGCCTCACTTGGAATATTGTGTTCTGGCATGGGCACTCTACTTTCGGAAAGACATCTAATGTCTAGAAGGAGTGCAACGCCTGGCTACAAGGATGATGGTGGGATAAAAAGGTAAGAGTTATGACCACAGACTCAAGTATCTCAACCTGTTCTCTCTGGCAAGAATGAGAGTCAGGTGGATCTCATAGAAGTCTCTAAGATCATGAATGGTATCTGCGGACTGCAGTTTGCTGATATGTTCCAATTCATTCCCTCAAGTGGCACTAGGGGATATAGTTTTAGGCTGCAACGTAGTCATATAAGGCTGGACGTTCAAGCCAAGTTCTTTACAAGTGGCATAATACCTTATTGGAATAGTCTACTCGAAAATGTGGTAGGTTGCTCGAATGTCATACCCTTCAAGGGAGCATTAGATGACTGTTGGGCTTCTACCTTCTCTGAAAGATTTGATGTTTAGTACCTATTATTCCTGAGCGCCATTGCCTAGGACGTGATACTTACTTTCTGCCTTTCAGAAAAAAGCCCATTGACTTGTAATGTTCGAAGCCACAAGAACAACCAACAACATCAATCTGGATGAAATTTTGGCCCGGGTCACACATCATCCTGTGCATACTGAGCTGAACTGAAGGTGACAAATTGGGCCACCTAGAACCTCAGCTATGTGTTTAACTAAGGCTGGATGGATGCCACCTGGACCACTGAATTCAGTGGCGTTAAGCTCGTCAAGAGTCCTACACACCTGTTCCANCTAATTCGGGGATACCTGATCCAGAAGTGTGGAAGTCAGTTTGTGCAGTATCTATTCACTCAATTCTGTGTACGCGTTTGAAGTAGTCTTTAAATCGTGCTGCTATATCCCACTCTTGGGTTACTACTGATTCAATCTCAAATATCAGAGGCACCATCTTCTCACTGACCCCCCCCCCCTTTGNCCTTTTTGGCATAATTTTCCAGCTTGAGCTCGTATTGTTGTTTGAGCTCCCGCTAAACTTCCAATGCTTTCTTCCTATCCTCGGTGTACTCCCCCAGGGTCTGAGGCTGTCCGTTAATTTGTAGGTGTGCCAGCTACTATTTCTACGCTGTATCCCTCTTCTAATCGCTGGGCTCCACCAAGGTGGTTTGTTCTTCGCTGCCCTGGGTTTCAGAGGATCAAATTCATCCTCCCGGAGCAAGGTATTTGTCATGAGTGCCTGGTCCTCCTCGAGTGTGCATTCAGGGCACCTTTAGACTCCTACTTTGTTAACCCTCCTTGAAGGTAGAACCAACCAAGAGATTGATCGCAAATAGACATTCCGAGTGCAATACGCTATCCTGTCTTCATGATGGAGTATATCCTGTCTGACTAGAACAGTTATTCCACCCGCCAATGTACCCCCTTTCCCGTCTTGTCTGTGGATTGTGAACCGGCTTTAAACTGTTTCGGTATGTGGTCGTCCTGAGTTAGCCACGTTTCAGACAGGACAATTACCTCGGCGTTTTTCTCGCAGCCACTGTGGCCAGCTCTGCCCATTTGTTTCTTATACTACATGCATTGGCATGCAGCAGTACCTTTGCTTCCCTGTCCCCTAGAGAGTGGTTTTCCTTTACTCAGAGTTTCTCTTCCAGCATAACACCCGAGTAGACCACCTGTTTTTTTGATTGGGCTAGAGTACCAGCTCGGGGAGCTTGGAAATGTATGCTGGTTCCGGTGATGATATACGCTCTTCGGATGAGGCATTATTCGATCCGATTGGAGTCTCATTCCCTAATATGAGTTCCTCCAAGAAGTCTTCAATTATTACCCATTTGGGTTTGATAAGACCCATATTACCCTGAGCAGTTACTTTAGCGGAGACCTAGTTCACTAGTTTCCTGTATTTTAAGTTGGCGGTCTCTTATTCAGAACCCTCACTTGAGGCACATCAGGAACTATTTTGTAACGCNCACTCCACACTAAGTCTACTCGGGATAGAAGCAGATCCCCATCTAGTGGTGTGGCGAATTCCACCAGTATGGGTCTTGCGGGTGCATGCAATGCCTCCCGCTGCACTCTCATAAATGCTTGGTTTGACGGAGCTCCGGTGGGCTTAAGTAAGTTACAGACTATACGCCTGTCCATTTCCCTACTTGCTGTTGATTGTCTTGCATTGTAATCCTCATTGTTAAGTATGAAGAGATTTTTTCAAATTTTTCCTTTGGGGATACCTATTGCAAAGAGGCCACTCACTTGCTATTTAGCTCCAGGGGCTCTACTTCTAATCGATCTCTATTTCCTTGTGAGGGAATGATATTTCTAACAGCTCCAGGCTTAGACCCCCAATGTGGATTAGGACGGCTTACACTCAGACGTGCCGTTGAGTTCACCCAAATGAGCAGCTTATTTAGCGGTGTGGATACCGCTGATGCCATAAAAGTCCTAAACAAAACTGTTTGCCAAGAACTCTCACCCTGCGGCTTCCTCTTTTCTTGGTTAGAGGTAACCTGAGCCTACGTTCTTGAGGTTCTTCCGATCGAGTATGACTTTTGAGGGCTTGCGAAGAGCTCAATGCTCGGCTTGCTTCTGGCTTCCGGCTGCTGCTTCGCATACGCTGACCTGGAAGCATCCTTACGCTGTTCACAGACCCACTCTACCCACCTATTTTGGCAATAAAATACGTGGTGGTCTTTGATCATGTCTAAAAATCCAGAATGCGCCGACCTGTTACAGGTTTCACATTCAGGTTCCTTAACCACCTTCTTTCGCAGGTAACCTTCAAACAGGGGTAGGATGCTTGCGTTATTATGAGGTGTCAATTACCGGCAATTTAACTTTACTTTTACGATCGAAACACGAAGCAAAGTAGAACACTTCAAAATTTCAACTGCGCGCCAGCATACTGCTAGGTCATTTTGCACACATTGCACAAAAACAAGTACTGCCCCTAACATTCTGTCAGAGAAAATCGCCAACCATCTGGCATCTGGAGCTTTTTTAAATGCTTGGACGTTTGGCTGGTTGATAAGTTCAGACGGTAGTTTATTTCAATTATCCACTACCGTATTGCTAAAGACGTGCGCTCGTGGATTCAGCTTTGAACGTTGTTTCATAAGTTGGAACTCACTGCCTCCTTGATGGCGCGCCTCAGTTAAGAGGGACTCCGGATTTAAACCCAGTAACTTATTCTTAATATTAAATACCTCGATGAGGTCTCCACACAATCTCTTCCTTTCCAGTACAAAAAGACCGAGTGCGCACAAGCTCTCTTTGTGTGATTTACCTCGCCTTGAACCATTCGTGTTGCTAGTCTCTGAACCTTCTCCAGACAGGCTAAAAAACTTCGTCATCAACAGGACCTTCAACGACAAAGTAGGTGACAAGTGCTCCTGGACAGCACACGTCACAAGTGGTGTACCCCACGGCTCCGTGTTCGGTCCGTTGTTGTTCTTACTATTGGTAAATGACCTTGCAGTTGAGATTTACCACATTTTACTTATCGAGGTATTTGAATATAAAGGAAGAGATTCCCTCAACAGAGACATAGCTGCTGTCTTCAGCTGAGCGCATAAGTGAGATTTGTCGCTGAATGCTGGTAAAAGTCAGCTGCAGACCGACGAAAGCTCAACAATAGTGCAGGACCAGGGTTTGTTTACGATAGAATCAGTGAGCAGAGCTAAGGACCTAGGTTTCGTCGTGACTTCCAATTTCCGTTGGGCCCAGCAGTGCACAGCAGCCGCAAAATAGCTCGCACAGAAATCTTCAGATTGAGGTCAGCACTGTCTTGCAGAAAGCCGGAGGTGTTCGTGCCTCTGTACAAACCTCAAATACTGTGTGCAGGCATGGTCACCCTTCTTCAAAAAGTATGCTGTCTGTTTAGAGGGAGTTCAGAGTCTCGCGACGAGAATGGTTGAAGGTCAAAGAGGGAAGTCATATGGTCAGAGACTTCATGACTGGGGGCTCTTTTCTCTGGAGAGGAGAAGACTCCGAAGTGGCCTCATCGAAACCTTCAAAAGAATGAAGTTTTTAGCAGGCATAGACCCGAAGAACCTTTATCAGGAAGATCTCGATTCGAGAACAAGAGGTCACTGTAAGAAACTAAGAAAATCTCGATCCAAACTTATAGCAAGATCACAGTACTTCGGTAATCTGATAGTAAACCTATGGAAGCTAATAGAATCACTTTCGGTTGAAATTTTCAAACTAACCCTAGATCGAAGGTGAGATGAAGTAGTTTCTGTGTTGAGCAGTGGTTTAGCTCTCCCATTAGGACACCTGTTGAACGCTCACGTACCTTAACGTCTCTCGCCTGGAAGGTGAGATGATTTGTCCTTTCTTTTTCGGCAGGAGAACTTACAAATTACTCGATACAGTGGTGTGTGCCAGACCTGTGCATACCACTGAAAGAACTCTGGACGTTCGATTGACCGTGGCCATTTCTTGTCCTGTAAAAACTGAAATGAAGCGAACGGTCTATGTCCTCTTTGTAGACGAGCGACCAAGCCCGATTGTAATAGTCTAATTGAGGCCTTACGATGGCTTTGTAGATGGGTTTAAATACATCTGCTTTCCTACACTATACTGCCTACCTTAGTCGGAACAGCT